ATAAATGTAAAATAAAGATATTGTGTCCACCTAAAAAACTAAAAAATAAATATTAAAAAAAGCACAGATTGCAGATCCTGATGATCCTCAACCTGCACCTTGTGCTCCAAGAATCTACATTTCTGTTAAGTTTCCCAGGGGATTCCAGGGATCACTTGGGAACCACCAACACTACATCACGTGCCTTCCACACTTTTCCTGGATAGGACAGCAAGGGAACGGATGTTGTGAGGAGTTAGAAAGCTATCGTGAACATCCACATGCTGAGAATGGTGGCTTTGGGTGCAGAAAATGGTTTAGATACTTTGACGTACTGTCTCTGTTTATTCATCTATAGGAACACTTGATTGTAACCTCACCTGTGTAAAGCTCTATCTGGCATAGCACTCAAGGTATGTTAGCTGCTGCTACTGTTATTGTTATTATTATTGAAGAAAGCCCTGGACTAAGAAGCAGATAGACACAGGTTCAAATCCTATCTCCACCACTTTCTAACTGTCTGACTTTGAGCAAATGACTTAACCTCTCTTAACCTCTTTCCCCATCTGTCAAATGATGACAAAAATCACAGCAATTATATTATGTGAGAAGATATGTTGTTAGGCTGAAAGACAATGTAAAGCTCAGTGCTCACAGTGCTAAGCCTATAAAAGCATTCAGCAAATAGAAGCAAGTAGCTGTTTTAAAGTATTTCCTGGAAGAAGGGACCTTATCCTCCAGGGCCCCAGCTTAGGTGACCTTGCTGGACTGTGGATATGCTATCACCTGAGAAAGTCAAAAAGCTATCGTGAGCTGTTCTTTCCACTGGGAGCTGTTTTTTTCTCAGGCTGGGAGAGGCTGTGCTTTACACACCTGTGCATGGACCTGGGCCAGCAGAAGGTAAAGGAACAGAGAGTGCAGAGGCTTGGAGAATTCTACTCAGTGACTTGCCAGGTCCATTCTTCTACCCTGTGGTAGGCGCCCCAGAGGTCCAAGCTGTTACAGTTTAGCATGCCTCTTCCAATGGGAGAAATTTGTAGCTGTCCTTCTCCTCCCCTCAGAATTCACCCAGACTACCCCTGTGGAAGACTTCTGGCAGCACCTCTGGTAGTCCCTGTCCTGAGGAGCTCTTCTGGTATCATGCACACAGAACCCAACTCACATCTTGATTCTGCCGTGTGACTTTGGGGCAGTCACTTAACGTCTCTCAACTTCCACGGCCTTCTCTATAAAATAGGGTTTGTCATTGGAGCTACCTCGAGTCTCCAAGCACTACCGTTTCCAATCGATATCAAAGGTTTGTGCCAGTTCCTATTATGCAATCTGGTAGGGTTAGTGCTCTGCTAGTGGTAGTTAATACTACCAGCCTTAGAAGACTCTGTAGCACCTGTAGCGACTCCTTCCTGGGATCACCCCTAATCACCACTGAGCATCCTCCAGGCCCCAAGCCAGGAGACATGCCTATTTCTGATTTGTTCTCACCAAAGAACTCACACAAGAGGGATGTAGTGTTTTGCCATCCACAGCAGCTTTGCAGCCATCACTCAAACTGGGGCTGAAGAGGCAAAATGAGTCAGTTGGACTGAAATGGGGTCCTGAACTACCCCAGTCTCCCTGGGTCAGCAAAGGGACAAATTCTGTGAACATCTGTAATCACTGGGCAGTAGAATCTTCTGTGATAATGAAAATATTCTACTCCTACACAGCTACTAGCCACATGAGCTCATTGAGGAAGCATGGCTAGAGACTGAGAAACTAAATTTTTTTTTCTTATTGAATTTTACCTTGACTTTTTTTGGGGGGGCGGGGTGCTAGGGATTGAACCCAGGGCCTTGTGCATGCAAGGCAAGCACTCTACCAACTGAGCTATGTCCCCAGCCCCCTACCTTGACTTTTAGGCTGAGTTTCATTGTGTTATACAGGCTAGTAATTCATAGGTTCAAGCAATTCTCCTGCCTCAGTCTATTGAGTAAGTACGTTGACTCTGAGTAGCAAGGACTATAGGTATGTGTGACTCTGCTGGTCTCTATTTCGTCTCCATGGTCCTGATGTATCCTCAGGGGAAACCTCGGTTTCCTTATGAGGAAAGTGGCCAAGATGCATGCCAGAAAAAAATAAATGATTAGATGAAACACAACCATGTACTTGAAAAAGACACTTTACCTCCATGGTCTTGATCCCTCAAACCCATAACTCTAATTATGAGAAAAACATCAAACTAATTCCAATAGGGCAGAACCTACAATTCCCTGACCAATACTCTTCAGAATTATCAAGGTCATTAATAAGGGAAGTCTCAGGCACTGTCACAGCCAAGGGAGCCCAAGGAGACATGAGAGCTAAATTGAAATAGGCTATCCTAGAATAGAAAAATGTCATTGGTCTCAGCTTCTCAGGAAGCTGAGGTAGAAGAATTGAAAGTTCAAGGTCAGCTGTGGATGTAGTTCAACGTTAGAGGGTTTGCCTAGGATGTACAAGGTCCTGGGTTCGATCTCTAGTACTGCAAACAAAACACAACAAAACAAAAACAGAGTAAATGATAGATTAAATAAATTAAAACATCAAGGCCTCTTTTTTTTTAATATTTATTTATTTATTTTAGTTTTCGGCGGACACAACATCTTTGTTTGTATGTGGTGTTGAGGATTGAACCCGGGCCGCACGCATGCTAGGCAAGCGCGCTACTGCTTGAGCCACATCCCCAACCCCACATCAAGGCCTCTTTCTACCTCAAAGAGTCATTGCAGACATCACATAAGAACCCAATAGGAGGACTGGGGATGTGGCTCAGTGGTAGAGCACTTGCCTAGCACGTGTGGGACACTGGGTTCGAGCCTCAGCACCACATAAAAATAAATAAATAAAATAAGTTATTGTGTCTACCTACAACTAAATATATATACTCAACAAGAAAGCACCAAATAAATCAATTATAAAAATTATAAATATTATATTTTATGTGTTCCAATATCCAAATGAATAAGGGATATTGGAACACATAAACTCAGGAGGCTGAGGCAGGGGGACCACAAGTTCAAAGCTAACCTCAGCAACTCATCTGGGTTCTAAGCAACCTAGCAAGTTATAAAAAATAGCCCTTTTATGTGTTCCAATATTCCTTATCCAAAGGGGGATAATCCTTGGGAGCTGGGTGCAATGGCAAATACCTGTGATTCCAGCAGCTCAGGAAGCTGAGGCAGGAGGATCACAAGTTTGAGGCCAGCCTGGGCAACTTAGGGAGGCTATCAGTAACTTAGTGAGACCCTGTTTCTAAATTAAAAATAAAAAAGGGCTGGGGATGTGGCTAAGTGCTTAGTGTTCCTGGGTTTCATCCCTGGTAACAAAACAAAATGCAAAATGCTTGGAATTTGGATTTCAGATTTTGTTGGATTTTGGAATATTTTCATATACATAATGAGCAATTTTGGTGATGAGATCTAAGTCTAATCAATGTTTTCTGTATGCCTCATACACATAGCAATAATGTAACCTTACACAATACTTTAAGAGTGCTTATGTTTTGACAGCAACCTGTCAAATGAAGTCAGATATGGAATTTTCCACTTGTGGCCTCATGTTGTGGATTTTGGAGCATTTCAGATTTTTTTTCTTTTTTTTTTTTTTAAATTTTTAGTTGTAGATGGACACACTACCTTTATTTTATTTGTTTATTTTCATGTGGTGCTGAGGATCGAACTATCGAACTCAGTGCCTCATGCATGCTAGGTGAGTGCTCTGCCACTGAGCCACAACTCCAGCCCCGCATTTCATATTTTCAAATTAAGGATGCTCGATCTGTATGTAAATATCCAGAATAGGTTAATCTGTAGAGTCAGATAGCAGATTAGTAGTGGTCAAGGGATGTGGTAGAATTACTGCTTACAGCTACAAGATTTCTTCTTGGGCTGGATGAGGTTCAGGAGGCTGAGGCAGAAGGATTCCAAGTTCAAGGCCAGCCTGAGCAACTAAGCCAGAACCTGTCTCAGAACAAACAAATAAATAAACAACAACAACAAAAACAAAACAAAAAAACTGGGGGTAAGTAGCAGATATTGAACCCAGGGGAGCTTAAAGCTTAACCACTGAGACAGGGTCTTGCTAGTTTGCTTAGAGCCTCAATAAATTGCTGAAGCTGGCTTTGAACTTGTGATCCTCCTGCCTCAGCCTCCTGAGCTCCTGGGATTACAGGCTTGTGCAAAAAAAAAAAAAAAAAAAAAATTAAAGGCAGAGGATTTAGCTCAATGGTAGAGCACCTCTGGGTTCAATTTCCAGTACCATACACACACAAAAGTTTCCTCAGGGTGCTGAAAATGTTCTGAAATTAAACAGAGGTGGTAGTTCCACAACACTGTGAATGTTCTAAATACTACTGAACTGTACACCTAAAGTGGTTTAATGTTAAGTAAATTTCACCAAAAAGATATTATGTAGACATTTGATATGACAGTCCCCAAACTCTCTTCTATTTTACAAGTCAGACCCAAGTCTTTGAAACTCCACAGCCCAGGATTTTTGAAACCCAAACTGGTGAGTAGGGAAGAAAAGTGGTTTTGGCATTGGGGGGTGGGGGTGGTGAGACTTGTGCCTCAGCATCAGACAGACCTAAGCTTGAGACCCTGCTCTGCCATTTGCTAGCTGGATAACTTTAGGCAGGTACCCCCTGCCCCACCAGAACTAGTTGCTTCATCTGCAAAGTGCATGATTGTTGGAACTATTCAATGACACCCACTGCACAGACCCAGGCACTTGACAAGACAAGGAGGCAATAATCATTTCCTTCTTGTCCCCCTTTCCCAGTTGCACTGTACAGGACGGATGGCTTTGATCCCCTCCCACACGGAGCTGGCTGAGTGCCAAAGAATGGGGGGTGAGAGTCAGGGTTTCAAGGTCTACAAAAAGCCAGAAATCATCTTTTTAGTTAAAAAGTGCCAGCCACAAATTCATAACATTTTTTCCATCGATCCCTTGCAGGCAAACTCATCAGGGCTGTTCCCCTAATAGACTCAAGGCCAACCCAAATTGGCTGAGAGCAAAATAAACAGCCTTATCTTGGGGGTGTGGGGCCCCTTACTATAAAAACGGAGGCCACTGGTCTCTTTAGCGTCTTTCCTACTCAAGATGAAATTCCTCTTGCTGGCTGCTCTGCTTGCAGGTAAGTACCCCTTTCCCCTTTGTGTGGGCTAGATATTCCTCCTCATGTATGGGGGAACTCAGATCACAGGAGACAGGGCTAGGCACAGCTGGAAGTCTGGATTTGAAACTCCCTGTGGGACTGAAGATCTCCTGGATTGGGGGTTCCCTCCTCATCTCTCAAATCCTCAACATCTGACACCTTTTCAGTCTCCAGGTTTGAACTCACATGATTCCTTTTAGAAAGGTCTCCCTTGCCCATCCACCCAAACTATGAGACACCCCCACTTTTTCCCCCTCTGCTATATTGCCTTCGCACGATGACCTCCCAGAACATAACCTGTTTCAGCAATTCTCATCTTGTTGATTAATTGATTTGTTTCTGTCCCACTCACCTGGCTGGCTGGCACCTTGTACTGGGTCAGACACAGTGAATCAAACTCAGGTGGAGTTTGAATCCCACTCATTCATCCATTGTTCATTGATTCATTCAGCATTGATGGAGCCCTCTGAGGAATCAGGCTCTGAGTTGAGACCAGCAACTCAGAGATGAATGAGCCCTAGTCCCAGTCCAGGCGAGCATGCGTGCATACATAAACATACACACGCACCCACGCACCAAGCCACGGTTCTTGGCTTCTGCAGAATAGGGCCGGCTAGATCAAAGGGAGAGGGAGGGAAGGGAGAGAGAAAGCAGGGGAACAGGGCAGTTGGGTCCCTCCTGCCTGAACAGGCTCTAGGCCTCTGCTCCTCCTGCACCTGTTAATTGCCACCACAGAGCCACTCACAGAGAAGAGCAGCCAACTGCCATTCTATCCTTAGCCCTGGAGTTTAAGTACAGTGAGTGGTCCCAGTGTGCCTCCCAGAAAAATTGAGAAAAAGAAGGGCAAATCATGGACAGTAAGAAAATATTGATGGCTGATTAAATAGGACCCTGGCCAGCCATGGTGATACATACCTCTAATCCCAGCGATTTGGGAGGCTGAAGCAGGAGGATTGAAAGTTCAAGGCTAATCTGGGCAATTTAGTGATACCCTGTCGCAAAAAAAAAAAAAAAAAAAAAAAAGTAGTTCAGTAGAGTGCTTCCTTAGCAAGTGTGAGGCTCTGGGTGCAATCCCCAGCCAACAGGAAAAAAAAAATCAATCTGGTATTGTACATTTTAAGTGATTAAAATGGTCATTTTGGGACTGGGGCTAGGGCTCAATGGTAGCGCATTTGCCCAGCATATGTGAGAGGCATTGGGTTAGATTCTCAGCACTGTGTATAAATAAAAAAAATAAACATCTATCAACAACTAAAAATATTTTTAAATGGTTGATTTTATGTTATGTGGATTTCAATAAAAAGATGTTTTTAATTTTTTTTTTATTAAAAAAAAATGCTGGGGAGGGCTGGGGCTGTAGCTCAGTAGTAGAACACCTGCCTCACATGTGTGAGGCCCTGGGTTCATCCTCAGCACCACATAAAAATAAAGATATTGTGTCCATCTACAACTAAAAAAAATATTGTTAAAACAGTGCTGGGGATGTGGCTCAGTGATTAAGTGTTAAGCGCCTCTGGGTTCAATCCCCAGTACTAACACACACACACACACACAAACACACACACACAAAAAAAAAAAAAAAGGAAAGAAAGAAAAAAATTCACTTTAAGTTTCTGGCATTTTTTTTTTTTTGGTGGGGGCAGGTACCCAGGATTGAACTCAGGGGCACTCAACCACTGAGCCACATCCCCAGCCCTATTTTGTATTTTATTTAGAGACAGGGTCTCACTGAGTTGCTTAGAGCCTTGCTGTTGCTGAGGCTGGCTTTGAACTTGGGATCCTCACGCCTCAGCCTCCGGAGCTGCTGGGGGCCTCCGACACGGCGCCAGGCTTCCAGTGCTCTTTTCAGGAGTCAAGCTGCCAGGAGTCAAGGAGACAGAGAGCAGGCAGTCAGTGGACCTCTGGGGGTGCCAGACCAATCTGAACTCGGGCTGCGTTTTCTTGCAGGGAGCGTTACTGCGCACAACATCAGCCCTCGGGCGGTGTGGCAGTTCCGCAATGTGATCAAGTGCACGATCCCCGGGAGTGACCCCTATAAGGACTACAACAACTATGGCTGCTTTTGTGGCTTGGGTGGCTCAGGCACCCCTGTGGATGAATTGGACAGGTGAGTGATCCATCTAGAGGGAGACTTGAAGAGTCCTTGTTGGGATGGGGAAAGGGCACAAGCCCAGAAAGGGGACGTGCATGTTAGCTAAGGATAACATGTTTCCACCTTTTGTCATAAGAAACACAGGCCAAGAGTGCCCTGCATTCAGTGTTCCCTGTTAGAAATGGAAAGCAGAAGCCAGATGTGGTGGCGCACACCTGTAACCCCAGCAGCTCGGGAGGATGAGGCAGGAGGATTGCAAGTTAAAAGCCAGCCTCAAAAATCTGGCGAGGGCCCTGAGCAATTTAGCCAGACCCTGTCTCAAGATAAAAAAAGAAAGGTGCCAAAAAAAAAAAAAAAAGAAAAGAAAATGCCAAATAGCTGATGCAGAATCATGGGCAATGCGATGCTCCCCTCTAGTGGCAGAAAATGGCAAAACAAACCATCAGAACCACACAACCCAGGCATCAACCTTTGGTTTAAAACAAACAAACAAACAAACAAAAAAAAAACAGTGTCACAGCATCATCAGGACGTGCAATTTTACCGCATTCCTACAAACCATGATAAAATCATTTTAAACAAATCTATGGCAAGAGAGCTCACAGTTTTTCAAGGCATGGGACAGTTCCTCCTGGGGATACCCCTCCTGTGCCTAGGTGAGGGTTGACCTGGTGTGGGGGTCCTTGCTCCTCAGCTCTTCCTTCCCCTCTGTAGGTGCTGCCAGACACACGACGCCTGCTACAGCCAGGCCAAAAAGTTGCCCAGCTGTAAATTCCTCGTGGACAACCCCTACACCAACACTTACTCATATACCTGCTCTGGGACAGAGGTCATCTGCAGCAGTAAGTTTTCCCAACCTTGACCCATAAATTCTAGCAGACCCTAAGTAGGCCTGGGGGAAGTAACGACAATGGCAATACCATTGTTTTCTTAGTGTTGGGCAATGTCTCGTTTAATCTTCACAACAACACTTTAGTATACATTTATTATCCCCATTTTACAGATGAGGAAACTGAGGCTCAAAGGCTAAGCCATTTGTCCAAGTTCATTCAGCTTGAATATGATGGTACTTGGCTTTTGAACATAATTCTATATGACTCCAAAGCCTCTGCTCTTAAGTGCCATGATATACTGTTTCCTTTTTTAATAAAAAGAAGCAAGCTGAGTGCAGTGGTGCACACCTCTAATCCCAGCTACCAGGGAAGCTAAAAGTGGAAGGATCCTAAGTTCAAAACCATCCTGGGCAATTTAGTGAGACCCTGTCTCAAAATAAAATTAAAAGGGGTTGGGGATATAGCTCAGTAGTAGAGCACTTGCCTACCATGTGTGAGGCCCTGGGTTTAATCTCAGTACTGGGAGAAAAAAGAAAAAGTCAATAACTGTCATTTATTAGGCTTTCATTATATGCCAGGTACTTGGTTAAGCAATTAAACAAGATAGGTTTTATTATTATTAACAAGGATCAAAGACAGTCATTTTTCCTAAATCATATAGTTTGATGTGTTGTACGTTGATATTTGAACCTAGTTTCATTTGATTTCAAAGGTTCTCATCTTAGCCACTAAGTGGTTATAGTGGCATGGTGTAATATGAAATGTGTTCCTAGTGAAATGGGTCTCTCCATGAAGATTTTTTTTTTCTGTGATAAGAATGGAACAAGAATGCAGGGTCCTATGCATCCTAGACAAGTGCTCTACCAGTAGACTACACTCCCAGCCATGAACGGGGTTCTTATTTCTGAGCAGGCAGTTCAGAGGAGAGAAGAGTATTGCCATGCGAGGGCAACACTCTGGGTTCTCACAAACCTTCATTGTGCCCTCGTTGACATGTCCCACTTTCCCAAACTGCACAAATGCAGTGAAATAACCATAATTGCATAATTCAAATCCAAAAGTGCCAAGAAAAAAGATTATGCAGAATCCCATAATCCTAACAAATGAACTGTTTTGGTCTTTCCTGCTCCCTTTTGTCCTTATCCTTGTAATAATATGTCCATCATTTTAATCACAGGTAGGCACGAACCCACCTCAAGTCCTTCATTTCTTCTGCCTGAAACACTTTCTACCATCAATTTGCCTGCTATACCTCTTCTTCCCAGATCTTTCTTCAGATGTCCCTTTCCAGTGAGGTCTTCCTTCTCCAAGTTCTTTAAATCACATATATCCCTCCAATGCTATCTCCTTCTTTGGTTTATTTTCTCAACAGTATTAATCACCATCTAATATCTAATTTATTTCTTTTTTCTCTCTCCATAAACAAAGGGATTGTTTTCTTTTTTATTAATACATCCCCAGAATCTAGAGCAGGGTTGGGCATACAGTAAGTGCTCAGTAAATATTTGATGAATGCATTAATCTAGATACAGTCTTGCATTCTGCCTTTTCTCACATTGCCTTGTGAAAGACCATTTTTAGCTGGGTTTGGTGGTATGCATCTGTAATTCCAGCGGCTTGAGAGGATGAGATAGGAGGATCGCAAGTTCAAAGCCAGCCTCAGAAAAAGCAAAGCGCTAAGCAACTCAGACCCTGTCTCTAAATAAAATACAAAATTGGGCTGGGGATGTGGCTCAGTGATCGAGTGCCCTGAGCGGTCAAGTGCCCTGAGTTCAATCCCTGTTACTCTTCCCCCCCCACAAAAAAATGACCATTTTAGGAACAATGCCTAGTAGGCTGAGTGTGGTAGCTCACTCCTGAATCCCAGTGGCTTGGGAGGCTGAGGCAGGAAGATCAAAAGTTTGAAGCTGGCTTCAGCAATTTAACTACTTTGATCTGTCTGCCCTGGCTGTTATTTCAGAAATCAGTGAGGAGCTATGGGGGATTGAGAAAAGAGAAACAAAGACATAGAGAAACCTGGGGCTAGGTGGCACATTACCCTTTTGGAGGAACAGTGACCCCAAACTAGTTCAGCATGTTTATTACATAGGTTTTATCATCAAAAGGATTTTCTGTGAGAAAGTTTCTTCAAAGCATGCAGGATTGAAGGTTGAAGATGCAGCAAATAATAATCCTCAACTTGTGCTCATAATTCTTTACCCCTGGCAGCTGGTGTCTGAACTCAGGGTCAAAACTGAGAGTCCTGTGCCTAGCACAGAACCTCCTTTAAGCAGGGTGTCCTCATAGCAACTGGGTAATCTTGATCTGCACTTTTGCACAGGAAGTTCCCAGTGCAGGTTTGCAGCTCCTGCTGTAGGACAGTCAGATCATGATTCAAATCTCTGCTCCCAACATCTCCCCATTTTTTTTCTTTAAGTGCAAGTAATGAGCTATTATTTGGAGCTGTTGGATTTCTTTTCAGAAGATGTGGCATCCTGATGTTATAACACAAAAGAGTATTAGAAGCAAACACGTAATTCTAAAAATGTCCATATTGTATGTTCTAACATATTCCAAGGATTAAAACCATTTAAATCATTAAGTATTTATTTAGCAAGCCATGAAGGATCCACAAGATCATTCCTGCTTTCCTGAATATCTTGGATGTGATGGTGTAACTCTATTAGGTCTAGACTCTTATTATTTCTCTGCCAAATGCTCATTAGGTAATTTTTAACTTTCTCCCAATCCCATTGAGAAGCATTATATCTTGCTTCTGTAACACAAATTTGTATCTAGCATGGCAGTAAAGCCACTGTCTAAGAGCAGCAAGCTCATTTCCTATATTTGTGACTGTGGTTTCCAGGGCATTTAGTTTAGTTTATATCTTGCCATCAATATCTACCTGATTCTGTAGGGCTTTGGAAGTATTCTGAGACAAATCATGGCTCAAAAAAATGAGCATTTTGATGCTTTTAGCTAAGGCTATGGTGGATGTCACTGCAGAGACCAGAACAGATATTAAAGTAACTATTCCAAATGTGATGAGACCAAGAGCACACTGATGTCTATTCTGCTGGTTAGGAATCTGTTGTAGGACTCCAGCATCAGAATACCACGGTTCTGTGATGTTAGCTGGGATTAAAACAAAGGAGGGTTGGAATAACACAAGCACTTCCTGTCCTCTATTATACCTGGTGATGCAATTAGTCAGATTGCAACTTTGACAAGTTACATGGTACTTTTCTCTAGTTGTATTTACTTTTGGGGGGGTGGGGGGTACCAGGAATTGAATTCAGGGGCACTCGACCACTGAGTCTCATCCCTAGCCCTATTTTGTATTTTATTTAGAGACAGGGTCTCACTGAGTTGATTAACACCTTGCTTTTTTCTGAGGCTGGCTTTGAACTTTCGATCCTCCTGCCTCAGCCTTCAGAGCTACTGGGATTACAGGTGTGTACCACTACACCTGGCTTCTATTTACTTATGTATTCCCAGAAATTAAAACGTAAGGAGCCAGATGTGGTGGCGCATGCCTTTAATCCCAGCGACAGGAGGATTGTGAGTTCAACGCCAGCCTCAGCAATGGTGAGGCACTAAGCAACTCAGTGTGACCCTGTCTCTAAATAAAATACAAAATAGGACTGGGGATGTGGCTTAGTGATTGAGTGCCCCTGAGTTCAATCCCTTGTACCCACCCCCCTGCCAAAAAAAAAAAAAAAGGAGATTGTACACAGGCCCACAGGCCATATCAGTGAGCCACTTTATAGCTCTTATACACAAGATCAGTTAGGGAGCTGCAAGTGTAGTTGATGAAATCTAAGACACCTAATGCCACAGATCTCTGTGTATGCCACCACCACTGAAGGTCAGGATACTACTAATAAATCCTCCAGGAGCTGTAAATTTCTGGTGTGGGTGCCTCTTCTCAAATCTATGAGACAGTCCTGAACATATCCACTGAAACATTATATTGCACTGGCATGATATTGGCACACTCCACCTAATTAGGAAAGGCATCCAATTCTATTGTAGTATGATTAGGAGAGTAAGGTATTGGTGGATTTCCATGGAAAACGTGGTTATGTAACTGTCAGGACATACTTTTTTAAATCCTAGGGGCCAGTGATTTTGGCTCCTCTGGCTCTCCCATATGCCATGTTTTTCTCTGGGGCCACTTTTAAACAGCCAGTATTTTCACTGTGGTAGAACATATAGGTAGATTCCCACTATATCCAGTATAATTAAACCCAACTGTATGAACAGGGATAACATGTTTATCTGGAAACCTCCCATCATGCATGCAAGGCAAGCACTCTACCAAGTGAGCTATATTCCCAGCCCAGAAATGTGTACTTTACTAAGGTAGAGAAATTAGATTATCCAATTTAACTAAATTGAAATGTACAATAGTTTACTGCCTTAAGTATATGTTTTAATGCTTCCCATGGTGCTTATCGTTGCTTGCCTGTGTTATCAGAGATCTGTAACTACACAGGTTTTAAAAATCAGTGAGCTCCTGTAAGGATTGAAATAGGACTTTCCAAAAGACAGTTATTGCAGGCTCTCAGATAAACAGCAAATAAATTTTTAATGTAAGTATGTCCCAACGATTATATTCATTATTTATCAGGAACTCAAGTGGTACTGGCCATCTCAATTGATCTGGTTTAGATGTGCTTCATCTCGCAATCCTAAATCTTCACGAATGGGCTGGCCACCAGCTTATTCCAGTTAATTCTTCCTGCCCTGGGACTGTAAGAAGAAGGGTCTGCTTTGACTCAATCTTCTCCACTTATCCCTCTCCAGGCAAAAACAAAGAATGCGAGGCTTTCATCTGTAACTGCGACCGCGAAGCTGCCATCTGCTTTTCCAAGGCTCCATACAATAAGGAGCACAAGGACCTGGATACTGACAAATATTGTTAAGATATAGTGTCACCCCTACCTGTCTGGTTGCCTTCACCTGACACTGTGTCCTCCAATAAAGCATATTGTTGAAAAGATCTCACGTTTGGGTATCATTGTACTCAGTTTGCTGAATATAACTAGACTTTTAAAAAAATTTAATATTTATTTTTTAGGTTTTTTTAGGTGAGCACAATATCTTTATTTTTTAAAATATTTTTATTTTATTTATTTGTATGTGGTGCTGAGGATCGAACCCAGTGCCTCACACGTGCTAGGTGAGTGCTCTAATGCTGAGCCACAACCCCAGCCCCAATACCTTTATTTTTATTTTTACATGGTGCTGAGAATCGAACCCAGTGCCTCACACATGCTAGGCGAGTGCGCTACCACTTGAGCCACATCCCCAACCCCAAAAATTTTTATTTATTTATTTTTTGCATGTATGGTACTGGGGATTGAACCCAGGGGCAACTTAACACTGAGCTACATCCCCAGCCCTTTTTATTTTTTATTTTGAGACAGGGTCTAAGTTACTGAGGACCTCTCTAAGTTACCCAGGCTGGCCTTGAATTTATGATCCTCCTGCCTCAGCCTCCTGAGTCTCTGGAATTATAGTTAGGTGCCACCACAGCAGGCTCATCACTAGATCTTTTGTGAAAGATCTAGTCAGTTCCTTCTAGCCTTAGAAATGCAAGTTGAATTAGAAGGATAATTCTAGGAAGCAAGTACTTTGAAATATGAACAATGATTATCAACTATCATCTACTGATTATTTACTCTGTAAGAGGACAGTGTATTTCTAAATACTCTGGATAGCTCTATGAGGTGATAGTACTATCAGCAAATCTTTGAGTTGCCTGCCTGTTGAGCTGGACTCTGGTTTAGTGTGAGCCAGAAATAACCTACTCTCATTCTTCTGTCTCCATTTTGACGGTTAAATCATTTTTCTACAACTCTTACCTTTTCTGAACGCTTCAAAGACTTCACCACACCCTATGAACTCATTTTTACATCATAGCAATCAAATATAATAAGCAATAATGGTTTACATTGCTTGAGCACTTATTTCATACCACTCTTTGCCAGGTCTCTATGCATCTCAAGTGCTCATTAGCTCTGTGATATTGGTATTATTGCTTCTCATTTTATGCATAAGAAATTAAAAACTCAGAGGAGATAAGTCATTTACCCAAGATCACATAAATGGCAGAGCCTGTCTAGTGGAAATGCCTGAACTCTTAACCACTAAATTACCCACCCAAGTCTCTCTATGAGGATGACTATATGGCATTGAATTCACCACAGTGGAGGTCAAAGAGAGCTAAATTTAAAAAGCAAAGATAAGAAAGGATAATAGGGACTGTGAGAAACCATCAAAGCAGCAATTTCAAACCTTAGTAGTGCCCACTTCTGGGTTTATGGTAGGCAGCCAAGCACTGTCAGTCTAAAGAAGGGAATGCCCCAAAACTTATTTGGGAGCCAATTTCTCCCTTATTTTATCCATCCAATCAATGATTTACCCTGAGCCAGGAAGTGTACAAAAGGCATAGAATACAATGTGCCTGGGATTGGCATCAAGACAATGATTGTTAGCAGCTGTCTGCAATTCAGTCTTCTCTGAGACTTTTTCTCCCATTTTTCAAACTGGTATCTTTATATATGCTCTGCTCTATATTCCAGATAGTGTATTTTGCACAATTATTTAGTTAGTCTCCTACCTCTATATTTATAAGTACTATTACATCCACATTTTACAAATAAGGAAACTGGCTTCAAAGAGGTAAATGATTTGTCAAAGGTCACTCATTCCCAGGTGGCAGAACTGAGCTTGGAACTCAAATCTTCATAATTTAGAGAGAAAGTGCCACCAGACTGTGAACTTGTTCAAATGACTGCTGAATGCTAAATGGAGTGTTTTTAGTCATCAAGAATAGGACTGTTTTCAAACTCAAATTCAACAAGCATCAATTGGATGGCCCTTTTTGAATACTGTACTATGGTAGGACTGTGAGGGATGAAAAAATAACTTTTCTGTTTGTTTTGCAGTGCTGGGGATCAAACCCAGGGTGTCTTGCTTTCTCTGCCACTGAGCTACCCTGCCAACCTCAAAGGGATACAAAATTAAATGAGAGCTGGTCTTAACATTTAATGAACTGTAAAGGCCATAAACATCTTTTTTCAATGGAAAGAAACTACAAGCTCCTGTTTAGATGTAACAAAATGCGCGCTTTTAGGAGATTATTGCCCCCCCACACACACACTTTTTTTTTTTCAGATGACAAACAAAACAAAACGGAGTCACACAGGTACTTAATGCTATAGTTGGGCCCTAAAAAATACCCTAACATAAAATTCTACCTATTTCCCATTACCTCAAGGGTTGGATGAGAGTAAATTTCTTTTTTTTTTTTTTTTTAGGTACTGGAGATTGAATCCAGGGTCACGTACTTGAGATTGAATCCAGGGTGGCCTCCATACGGGGCACTGAGCCCGTTTTTTATTTTTAAAAATTTGAGACAGGCTTTTGCTAAATTTCCCGGTGGATGCCCTGGAAGTTACAATTCTCCAATCTCTGCATCCAAGTAGCTGGGATTACAGATTTGCCCCATGCCCCGGCTCTTTAAATTGTTTTGTTTTGTTTTGTACCGGGGATTGGGATTGAACTCAGGGGCACTTAACCACTGAGCCACATCCCCAGCCCTTTTGGGCCTTGCAAAGTTGTTGGGGCTGGCTCTGTATTTGCGATCCTCCTGCCTCAGCCTCCTAGCCCCTAGGATTACAGGAATGCGCCACCATGCTCGGCTCTTTAACATCTTTTAATGAGCATCTGCTGAGCGCTCTTTGCGGAAAATAGGATATAGGAAACTCTAATATAAAGCCTATGATGCTCTAAACAATAAATATATAAACTACAATGAGCAATTTGAAGGCAGGATTACATTTTAGAAGCCACAGTACCTTCACAGTGCCCAAAACACGACATAAACTCATTAAATAACCGTTCCACTAAGTACAGTGTAGCCTCAACTTTTGCCACAAAGGGGGAAAAAAACCCACGTGGCAGTATTTACCTTCCACCTCACATGGCCCTGCACATCCAACCCTGTCAATCTCCAGTCTCTATTCCAAGGCGGAAGGATTCCGGAGTAGGATGTGTGATTGGATAGAGTATGGGCATGTGACTCGCAGACTCTCTTTTCTATTGGTTAACGGCGGCCCGGCCCTTGGACTCCCAAGCTCAGGCCACGCCCCTGGCCAGAACCCGCGCAGGTGCAGTGGGACGTTGGCAGCCGTCGGTGTCCGCTTGAGGTGGTGGTACCTCCGCACCCATCTTTCTGGAGCTCGTCAATACTGTTTTCCTGAGCTGGAATCCGCCATTAGATAGGATGGGCGCTTGAAAAGTAGGCGACCTCACGTGGATGTGACAAAGGAGCCAGTTTTGCTGCTGTGCTCGCCCTTTGCCGCATCGCCCACCGTCCGCCGCCAGTTTCCGGTAGCCAATCCCTTCTGTGTTCTTATTCCAGGGAAGGATGAGGGGGTTGGAAAAGTGAGGTGCTGGGGAGCCCACGGGCGTGCAGAGGAGGCTTAGCCAAGCAGAGAGGCGAGTGGGTGTTGGGTGAACCAAGAGCCTCTGGATCCCAAGTCCACGCTTATTCTCCACCCCTACCTAGAAGAGGAAAGAAGAACAGGGAAGGGGTTTGCTGGTAGAACCTCCATGTCTTTGTTGTTTCCTTGGTTTGGAAGGCTTTCCTTTTCCCCGCTTGGTGAAAGCCTGTTCATCTTCCAGGACCCAGCTGGAACACTTCTGGAAGTTTCTTGAACTCTGCCCCTTTTCCTTATCCAGTCTCTGTTGCTAAGTATTTCTACAGTATTGAAGAGTTTGATTACTGGCCTGATCACCCGTGGTGACGTTGGGCAAGTTACCTAAGATATTCAAACTTAAGGATCCTCAACTTTGAAGATCCTTAACTTTGCCCATATCCTATGTAATAGAGCTGTGGGATTCAAGTGAGCAAGTGCGTTTTAGTGTTTCCCACAGTGCTTGTTGTATAGTACATGTTAAATATTTTCCTAAGGGGAGAGGGAAGAATACATAAAAGGATTTCCTTTTTTTTTTTTTTTCTTTTGTGTGGTGCTGGAGATTGAATTCAGACCTCTGAGCTACATCCCATCACGTTTCTGGTTTTTTGATTTTTAGACACTAAGTTTCTGAGGCTGGCTTTGAACTCGTAATCCTCTTGACTCAGCCTCCTAAGTAGCTGGAATTGTCTGTGCACCACTGTGCTTGGCACTTTTATTTTCTTTAGGATGGCTTTATTACATCAAGTCATTTTGTAATTTTTGGCAAAAGACGAGCAGGTACACAGAAAGAAAATGAGGCTCTGGTGAAGATCATTGAGAAGTCTAGTTAAAGGAGTATTCAGTAGGGACAAAGGTTCAAGCAGATGTGTTGGTTTCCTCTCGCACCATGCTACCCACTTCTTGATGATAATGGTGCATCTCTTTTTCTTATGTACCAGGCATTGTACTATGTGCCTCAAACTCAACAACCCAATGAGGTAGCTTTCTGAATTATAAAGAGCCTGAAGATCAGGTAGAATAATTTACCCAAGTTCATCCAGCTACTAAGTAGCAAGACTGGAATCCACATCTATGGATTCTTAAGAATTTTGAGGGCTGGGGATGTGGCTCAAGCGGTAGCGCTCTCGCCTGGCATGGGTGCGGCCCGGGTTCCATCCTCAGCACTACATACAAACAAAGATGTTGTGTCAGCTGAAAACTTAAAAAAAAAAAAAAAACAATAAATATTAAAATTCTCAAAAAAAAAAAAAAAAAAAGAATTTCGAGTCTGTGCTACATTCCTTTTATTGGAGGTGGGGGGCAGAGTACTGGGGATTAAGCCCAAGGGTGTTTTACCACAGATGCAGCCCCAGCCCTTTTAAAATTTGTATTTTGAGACAGAGCCTGGCTAAGTTGCTGAGATTGACTTTGACTTGCTATCCTCCTGCCTCTGCTTCCTAAATAGCTTGGATTAGAGGTGTATACCACTGTGTCCAGCTATATTCCTTTTCTAATAAGTGAAGGGGGAGGGCTG